CGTGGGGACCAAAATAACACACTGTCTCTTCCCAGTCGAAGAAACCGCTGCCTTCTAGGGTGACGTATCGAGGAAGCTCATCCAGAAGAACTTCGTTTGGTACGACACCCGTCAGCGAGAGATCTGTACAATTGTAGTAATAAATCTGAAGAGATGTGTTGGTTTTAACGTCTGCTTGACCACTCTGTGTTATTATAACAGATAGGTTATACCTGCCAGGAATATAATCAGCCCATGGTTGAAATTCACATTGCGCATGCGTGAGATTTGTTGAAGTTGCTGAAACAGAAATGAAACTTCTTTAATGTCATATGTTGAAACCGCACCTTCCCCTTTAACTCCCAGAAGTAATTTGATCAGCATCTAATTAACCTTACCTAATAATATCAATACATTGTCCAGCAGAAAGATGATGAGAATAGGCAATTGTATCAGCTCGAGGAAGCGCTATTGATATAAACCCAAATTCTCTTAACCAATGTACAATAAATTGTATAGCAAGTCAGAAAGGAGAGTTACTATCTTGAGAGTCAAAGGGTTAAAATAAAGCTTATTTAGATGCACTTAACGTAGACTGCAAGAATTCATTTGATTGGTGATTTTACTTAGTAAACAGATCTATGATTGGCTGACAGGCTAAGTGTTTATTTGGATCGGTTCTTCCTTTTTTGAACTAGTTTCCGTTGTGTTGTTCTAGGAAGGAGGAAGTGTATACCCGTTCTGAAGTTCTACTATCTAAAAGGATCTGCAGACGGATCAAGAATTTATTTGGATTTATTCTTCCTAGTTTGTGTTATGTTGTTCTAGGAAGGGGAGAGTGTATGCTCGCTCTGAAGGTCTTGTAGCTATCTTGGCGATATTTCTTGTAAGAAATGCAACAGCTAGAACAGCAAGATTTCTCAATGCTGTCTGATCGACAGACGCTAATGTGGTTTTTCACAGAAGTGAACATGTGCTGAAACATTTTCTGCATCCATTTCTCATTTCTCCCGCTAGGATCGGAATGTGGTCAGGGTGGTAATATTTTAAGGACCTTTTAACCTTTTGCTGCATATGGTTGAGCGGGTTTTCAGGTTTCGAAGGCAATACACACTAAATAGGGAGTCACCTGTACGGTAAATGGCAATAGTTAATTGTGCCACGTGACCAAGTTTTCCCCTTACTTGTCTTAAACCTTTTTGCGAGAGGTACCGGGATCGTTGCCCGGGTTCTCCACGAAAATATGTGGGGGTGTATTCGAGCAACTCGCTTGCTACACAGTGAGGTACCAGGAATCTGATTTACATCTTGGCCCTTATTCTTCTTAATCTTCTTGCAACTTCTACTTACTCTACTTCTCCTACTTCTACTCTACTTCTCCCACTAGTTCAAGTATAGTAGCGGTTTTAAAAGCCAAAGCTGGACATGTTTGGGTTAGCTGACCGGAAGAGTTTCTATTGTATATGTTATCGCTAACATTGCAACAGGTTTGCTATTGTTAGGGAATAGACTAGCCTACACACAGCCGCAACTGATAAGTACCAAAGAACGAAGGTCAGCTCTAACACCACAAACACGACCACCTGAAAACTAACATCTGGCAGTTCTAAGCGAATAAAATTCCTAATATGGCAATAAGTAAATTCGTGAGCTAAGCATAAATTCAAGTACAAGTAAAAACAAAAGATCGAAACAGGAAAACAGTACTTGGACAAAAACAAGACTTAATGAAACAAAAACTAAACTTAAAATATAAGATAAATCCGTATTAAAAATAACTTTCAAAATACTTCACAACACTTTATATAAAAAAATTAGTTTCACGCAATTTTCGTTCATAAGAATTTTTTAGACCGTTTTTATCTCCTCATTTTCTATTTTAAGAAATTGTCAGCTTGAGTTTGTCGTTTTGCCGTAAACGTGACTCTTAATCTCTATTGCTATGCAACTTTGACAATGGTGAACACAATGAATTACAGCTAGTGAAACAGGCTCAGCACTTCATTTATCTTTTTTTTTAAATTCATAGTCCACTCTGTGTTCATCTTATCAACCTACGTAACAAAGCAAGTCGCTTTTCGCATTGTCTGCACTGATAAGCTTATGTCAAGGGTTTGTATTACCTGTGGTGTTGACTACCATTTCCCCGCTAGTGTCGTTGTATAACACGCATAATGTGTGATCACCAGTATTAAGACCAGCACCAAATACCAAAACATTAGGATGGCAGCTTGAGATGGTCTTCGGTTCAGTTTTCATGATGTCGGTGCAAGTTGAGCCATCGCCATCGCACTCACGGCATGCATCAAATTCCTTACCACTGTGTGGTACGCCATCACACCCCGCGCACGTCGCATTAGTTCCATTGCATACACCTAAAACATCAATAAGTATTCAAGAAATAGGCGCGGGAACAGCGGGTAGTTATGTACAGTAATCATATGATTGCAATGCACCAGTGACATCACTGATATAAAGATTACTTTTCATTGAAAAAATTCTACCTCTGGCAAGGGACTTAGGACAAATCCATGTTCTTCGATTTTCCTTAGATACCAAAATCAAATGAAATCACGAAAAAGTAATGCTAAAGAAGATTTATTGGAATATTCCGTCGAATGCCTCCAAGATCTGGGCTACAGGGGAACCCGTTAAAAATGTTCCTATTGAACCTTTTTACACTATTTTATGACAAGTACACTGATTCATTTTGGACTATCAGTCTGGTGGCTGCGACACATATCATTCGGAAGCGCGAACGACTTTTGATAGAGAGATAAAGTTTACTAAACTCTTGAGGAGATTCTTTAGTGCCCTGCTGATTTTCCGACCAAGGTCCGAGTGGTCGAATTCAGTGATGGAAAACTGAATGGCCTTTCGGCCATATAAAATCATTAAATGATTTTATGCTCCGCGTTTCATGACTTCCATGGTTTTGCGTACACCACTTTAGACTCAAATATGCGATTTCCTGTTCCCTTTTGCATAGCCTGTATGGCCTGTCCCAATATTCATTGCCACATGCTGCAGTAAGCAAACTCTAATGCATGTCCACAGCAACCCCGAACCCAATGCTATCCTTTACATTCAGGAATTCAAAGTAATCAAAGCCGGCTTTTCAAAACACGGCAGAATAAAGGCAGAGGTTGCGTCTTCTACGATCCACACCCAATGCAACACAAAACCGTTCCCTATCTTAGACCTAGGAAGTGCCCTCTCGATGTACGAACTTCAGTGCGCCTCGGTGGTAAAATTCTCACAAATAAAAGGTTTTTATAACCGCACTCCTCCTTTCCAATGTTTCATGCAATGTTGAATGCGATATTGGCATTCTCATTTTGAAAATGGGAGACGAGGAATGAGTCTTGCGCACTCTCAGATATATCATTTTTAGCATAATAAGTTACATTGTCTAAAGCTAGCCTTAATAAAAATAACATTGGTTAAAAAAAGCTTTGGGAGGCCTACCACAGGCATCCTTTAGGTAGTTAGCCATTAGACCGGTACTTCCCCCAGTGCAAACACCGCATTCATCTTCAGTTGCGGTTCCGCGACAGTCGTTGTTACAATCCAAGGCAGGGTTCACAGCCCCTGGCATGAGGCAGACTCCACATGTGGCATTTTGAGCGGTCCCATTACAGATGCCGTTGCAGTCTCGTAATGAAGAAACACCTGTATTACCCTAAAGAAGAAATAAAACTAGGTATTAACCTTACAATTAACCATGAACTATTTGGTACGTAAAAGAAATCTATCTCGCCCCATGTAAAACGATACAAAAACAGTCTTGGAATCTGGATTCCAAGCTTTGGATTCCGGATTTCATTCGTTAGCGGAATTCTGGATTCCCTGAGCTGAAACTCTGGATTCCAAGCCAAGGATTCCGGATTTAAAAGCAGAAATTTTCCGGATTCCGGAATTCTGACTACCTTACATAGGGTGATCTATCTATCACGCCTGGATTAGTTCAAGTATTGTGGGACTCAACATTGAGAAGGGAAGAAGAAGTAACAGAAAAATAGAGTGGGCTGAGATGTAGCTAAGATGACTTATTCAATTGGCTAGCTTGGAGATGTTAGCAGGAAAGCTAACTCAAAAAGTTAACGATTAGATTAATTTTGTTATGCCATGTATATACGATTTTAGTATATACTAAAACACTGGATAGTGTTTTTCGCGCGCTCTGATTGGCTACTCAATCAGTGAATAGCCATTGCTATTCACTGATTCACCTCCAGTTCCTCCGCGCGATCGACGCCAAACTCGCGTTTCAAGTTGCAGTCAAAATGACCTCCCGGTTTGCTACCGTCGTAACAAACAAAGAAATTTCACAAATAATCAACCAAGCTGTTCCCGAAATACACGAAGAAGGTGACGAAGTTCGGTTTAGAAGTTTTAACAGGTAAAGCTTTGTTTTCTTGACTTGAATTTATCGTTGAAACTATTGAAAAAGGTCCTTATTTAAAAATGTAAATTAAGCTTAATTCTTGCGTTACTTTATTTAGTTGACTTGTTCATGTTAAAGATAAGCTTAAAACTGAATTTAATAATCTTTTTTGAGAATGATTTTAAATACAAAAAGAATTCACAACTAATTCTGAAAAAATCTCCCCGCAAGAGCTAAACAAATGCCTTCAAAAGTTTTATTTGTCGGCCGGCAAGAAAAAGCGACCACCACGGCCGTTCGGTCATTGCGCGCCAAAATTGAAATCGTTGGCAACAACAAATGAGTTAAAAATCATCATTTTTGTGCTCAATTATCTCACTGTTTTAGTATATTCTAAAACAATTATCGCCCCCTTGTGTCGGTGGCTAGTGGTGCATGGGTATTTACCTCGCCGCTTCGCGGCTCACCTCCAATTCGGTGAATAATTGTTATTCAACCCAAATTAAATCTCACCTCAATGCAGACCTCGCAATCCAGATATGCTCCTCCACCGCAGTCACCTTGTTTGAAATTACAAAGTATGATGGCAGTCAGAATAGTTATCTATTATTCTTTCATGATTTTTCGCGGTTTAAAATTGGATTATATCCCCCTGTCTAATTCTTCATAACATCCGGGGCTAACCATATTTAGATGATGTGGGCAATAGATCATCGATTGGATATTTTTTTTTACCAATTATTGAGGCTGAGTATGATGTGAAGAATTAAGCAGATCCAGGAGAATATTATCCACCAAGGACGGAGGCCAAGGTGGATAACATCCTCCGAGATTAGCATCATCCATTCAAAATATTTCTTTGTTCTTAACAAGCTACTGCCTCGTAGACGTTTATTTTTTCTAAACTTTACTCTATTTCTTTTCTTTCAGACACTCCTCAAAAAGTAGATAACATTCATCGAGCTATATGATTTGCGTATTCTTACGTTTCTTTCGTTAAGTTTTAGTCAGAAATTCAGCATTTTCAACTTCGGATAGCTGTGAACGCCATTTTTTAGTTCACTATTACCCGAGCGGTCTCATTTCCAGGCAAATATTCCATCGATGGACCTCATTTCCGCCCAATTATAAAATAACTGAGATAGTACGCGTGATCTGATTGGTCAAAAACCTATGGTTTATTATACCGGTAAACCCATAGAAAAAGGCATCCAGACCACGAGCCATAAACAAAACCGACAACGACTTTAGAAAGGCTAAAAAACAGAACAAGTTACTTACCCAGCCCTTCTTAATATTAAAAGCGTTGGTTTCCACATTTTATTACTGAGCGTCACAATTCGCTACTGCCATAGCTTTAGAAGTTATAAAGTACAAAGCTGGAAAACAGTTTACATTTCACGACGATGCCAAATCGCAGAGAAAGCCAACAACTGTGTGAATTTCTGGTGTAGAAAGTCTCTAGGAAAACTTAACCATTTGCCAACCAGCAACAAAACGGATAGTTTTAGCATTCTTGATTTATTTTATATCAAAAGTAAATTTCTTAATGAAAGAACTTGTTCAAAAAAGACATCCCTGATCAAGATATGGTACAAAATCGGCCGCTGTAGGTTGTAAACAAGCTGCCAAGGATGATGAAAGATGTCAGAGTTTCGGGCTGGTTTTTTCCAACATTTGCACAAATTATGCGGTGATATCGATGCCATAACCTACCTCATGAACCACCTGACTTCACGAATCGACAAATATTAACGTCAATATGTGGCTACGACAAAGAAACCTTTCTCCACCACTGACATATTTCCATCGGTCGCTGTACGTGCATACAAAGTTACATGCGACAACTTCGCAAATGCAGCCACGTCGTTACCGCAGCATTTCTTGATCATAATAAAGTCCAGAAAACAGATCTTAAACCACTGCTTTTTACTTTATAAAAAGTGAATGAAGTCCTCCATTACAATAGCTGTCAGTTCCGTCTGTAATAACGAAATTCTTACGGATCGACTCAACAAAATACGGCTGCGTACAGTCTGATGTTCAATTAATTTCTACTTCTGTAGTAAACAAACCATGAACGTATTCTTTCATTGTACGTTCGCATGAATATGTGTTGACTTTTCCTGTAAAACAGCTTTCATAAGTTATCGTGTAATGAGTGCAAAAACTCGTGTTTTGAAGTGCTGCTGTTTGTTGTTTGACTGAACTGAGTTTTGAGAAAGTTCAACGCTGTTAAATCGTGAGTCATGATTGGCGTACGATGACTTTAGAGAGAAGACGTGACTTGATCACGGTACTAGAACCATATTTTTTACCTAAAAGACTCCATTCTACGAAAAGTTATTTTATAAACGCAATAGACCACACTTTCTATGGGTTTACCGGCGTGATAACCCACTTGGGATGTTGGGAGAACACTCGAAAAGCTTGTAAATCACTCGCCTTCGGCTCGTGATTTACAAGCTTTTCTCGTGTTCTCCCAACATCCCAAGTGGGTTATCACGCCGGTAAACCCATAGAAAGTGTGGTCTATTGCTTAAATATACCATCGAATCGATGGTATATTGCTCGCATCTTCCAAATATGGGTTTCATAGAGAAGAAGTTGTTAACTTACCGTTGCAATCGAATCCATCCAGACATGGAGGTTCTGTTGTTATGGCTGATGAAGAAGATTCTAGGACTAACGAAGGGGAAGGATTGATGCCGTATGAAATCGTTGAAGCTATTCGAGGAGCATCTGAAAATATAAAAACAATAGTAACCTATTTTTCTCGGTTTAATTCGCAAGAGACATTTTTAAAATATCTTTTATTAAGGAGATCGTTTAAAAAAAGGCTTTCAATTCAAATGATGCCTTTCCTAGACTGTTCACAATTCCTCATTTTCCCCAGCTGTTGAGATCGATTGCTGAATTTCGAGCATTTTTCAACTTCTATAGGGGCTCCCTGCGCTCACCTAGTATGCAAATATGCAAAATTATTTTGTAAAAAGAGAAAGGGTCTAACGTAAACAAAGGTTTTAACTTCCACAGGATTTGTCTGGGACACCAATATGGTCATGGTTTTATTGTTTTGGGACACCAATATGGTCATGGTTTTCTTGTTTTGGGATACCAATATGGTCATGGTTTTATTGTTTTGGGATACCAATATGGTCATGGTTTTATTGTTTTGGGATACCAATATGGTCATGGTTTTCTTGTTTTGGGACACCAATATGGTCATGGTTTTATTGTTTTGGGATACCAATATGGTCATGGTTTTATTGTTTTGGGATACCAATATGGTCATGGTTTTATTTTTTTGCGACACCAATATGGTCATGGTTTTATTGTTTTGGGACGCGGCCAATATTGCAAACGTGGCGTTTGTAATCGGCTTATACTAGCGGGTGAATACAGCCGTCTCTCGTTGCTCTTTGTTGCTAGGGACATTTCGCGGGAATAGAAAGATTAAGCATCGCGTTTATGGCAAACAGCAAACGTGAACCTGGACCACGTGACCAAGTTTTCCATCTACTTATCGTTAACTGTTTATTATAAATACACGAAAATCGGTAGATTCACGACAATTTTATCCATAACAATTGTTTAACGCTGTTTTTATCTGCTCGTTACCTATTTTGAAAATTTCTCAACTTGAATCTCACGTTTGCCGTTTGCCGTAAACGCGATGCTTAATCTCTTTAATGCCGCAAAATGTCCCTAGCGGCCAGGACTGACGGCGGTTTTCGCAAGCTAAGTGCATACTTACACGTCCTACATTCAACTTCCCACCAGCACGATTGATTCGAACAAACAAAAGGCTCGGAAACAGACGAACTTGGTGTCGGCCAGACGGAAGAGCTATAGTTTGCTGTTGTGGCATTGACACTTGCTGTGTACGACATATTCACGCTTGAAGGTGTTGGGTTCATGCTTACGTCAGATGAGATCAAATTGACTGACAGAGTGGACATGTTGTAGTTGTGGGACATACTATGGCTCTGCGTCATATTATAGCTCTGTGTCATGTTGATTCCATAAGAAGAGCTTTCTGACATGTTGTAATCCATCGATGTCGAATAATACACTGTAAAATGTAAAGGAAGTGACAAGTAAGTACATTTATTTATATATATACAAATTGGGCTTAACATGTCATTAATTATTTCCAGTACAGGTCTACAGTAGTTCGTCAGTTTTCTNAAGGCTCGGAAACAGACGAACTTGGTGTCGGCCAGACGGAAGAGCTATAGTTTGCTGTTGTGGCATTGACACTTGCTGTGTACGACATATTCACGCTTGAAGGTGTTGGGTTCATGCTTACGTCAGATGAGATCAAATTGACTGACAGAGTGGACATGTTGTAGTTGTGGGACATACTATGGCTCTGCGTCATATTATAGCTCTGTGTCATGTTGATTCCATAAGAAGAGCTTTCTGACATGTTGTAATCCATCGATGTCGAATAATACACTGTAAAATGTAAAGGAAGTGACAAGTAAGTACATTTATTTATATATATACAAATTGGGCTTAACATGTCATTAATTATTTCCAGTACAGGTCTACAGTAGTTCGTCAGTTTTCTAGTTGAGCAGAATAACATTAGCAGGAAAAGAGTCGAGGATTGTGCGAACGCAACTAGTTACCGTCGTCAAAATTCCTTTTGTCTATTTTTCTCTTAAGCCCCAGTATGCACATTCGAATTCTCCAGACTCATCTCCATACTTTTCCTTCAAGAATTACAGATATTCACCTTCTATTTTTGTGGAGAAGTAAATATCCTCTGTTTCCAGTTACAGTTATCCTTTAATCGTAAGAAGATTGTACAAACATTAACGATACTTGCCTGTGGAATGGTTACACACACATACGCGGTAGCAATTGGATGGAAGAGGAGGTGTGGAGGAGATCGATGCAGAGTTTTCACCGCTAAGAACTGACGACGTATAATTTGTTTCACTGCTTACAGTCGCGGTCATGTAGATATCACTCAAATTGATGGACTGTGTTTCGTTCACAATCTCCATAGTTGAATACGTCATATACTGTGACGAACCCACTACAAGGCAACACACATGTTTATTTCTTTTGCTTTCAAGAACACTAACCGAAAAAGAACTGACAAAAATTAACTGCATGCAATCAGTAGCTAAGAGTTGTGCTGGTATGCACGGCGGCAGTGATAGGTTTTTAGCGAAAACTCGAGGATAGCTTGTTTAATTTTCAAAAACGACCGTCTGGCCGTCCGAGTGGCCTATAACAATTACGATAAATTCCAAGTGAGTTGCTTGGCAATCAACTCCCCACTGCGGAAACTATGAGAGGAACGTATACCAGCTTTCGGCGCAACGATTTGTGGGATCGTTTGGGTAGACAAAAGTTACTTATGATTGGTTTATGGTTACCTTGATCATGAATACTATCTGCCAATCATAACTAACGCTTGTCCACCCACACGATCACAGAAAACAGTGCGCCGAAAGCTTGTACCTATTCACCTTAGGGTATTCTGGAGTAGGAAATTACGACGAAACAAAATGAACAACATGGATCTAAACCGGCCAGTTAATACCAACAGACGTGACCTTTAAACCCTCTGAAGAAAGCTTTTCCGATTGGATTTTCGGCGTGCTAACCGGAACAAAAATCTGGAAAAAAGACTGATCCAAACAGTAGTTGGTTGCTACACCATTTTTCGCAATTTCCTTGGACCGTTTTTGATTTGTTCTCTTTTAAGAAGCGTCTTCTCGTAGAGCAATGAAAGGGAATGGTCTTTTTTAACGAGTTCATGTTCGGACTCATTAACCGTAAATTATCTGCCTGGGATTTATAATAAACAAATTCAGAAGAAAACTACCACCCCTAAAATGCTGAGAGGCGCGGCGCGGCGCGCCCCAACTACTCGTTGAAAAATTTACCGAGAGAACCTGCAAGCATTTACGTTTATTTGCGGATCTAGAGTTTTAGTGCAACTTGCGTTCGGGGCACCCAAGAGAATATAGCTCAAAACCACTAAACATAGCATTTTTTAACGTATTTTAGAATTTAAACGGTACATATAGGCATATTTTTATCCCCTAAAATTTTTCATCTGTTCAGATTTCCTAGCTGAAAGTCTAATGATCCGAAAACTATAGGGATCAAAACTTACCTTTTAGAAAATTTCAGCCAAAGAAAAGGCTTCCGAAAATTCTAGGTGACCTTTTTAGGGTAAAAATCCGTTAAAAAGGGCAATTTTACCATTTTTTAGATGTTCGAAAATCCTAGGAGAGGCAGGCAAGCAAGAAATTTGGCAATAAATCACGGTTCCGAAAATTCTAGATCTCAAATCGTCTTACGAACAGATATTTTCCAAAAATTGACGGTTGGATGCCCCTATTGCGTTAAAACACAACAATCGTAAGTTCTGGCGATAGGACAACGGACGGGTATAAAAAACGTTTGCCCGAACTGACCTAGATCATCATGATCACCTGATGAACGAGCTCATTCAAGCGATCGAAGAGTGGTTTCGATAAATGGAACAAAAATCTGACAACAAGATTGAGATACTAATCTGAACGATCCGAGTGCGAAGTTGGGTCGTTTAGATTGCAATCTAAGATTGGTTTAGTTCTCAATGAAACGCAAAATCGAAGTTTTGATCGTAAAATCCGATTTTAGATTGGTCAGAAGGAACGTACCCTGTTTTTTAACTAGAGGTCGCATTCTGTATGCTGAAATATGATTTATTAAACTTTTTATTCGTAAAAGACCACTTTAGAGTAGAAAAATGTCTTTCAGATCCTGAGAATACCAAACTAGCTAAAAGTTGAGAAAAGTTTGTGATCGATTGTCAATCTCTCAGGGGCACCCAACGACCGTTTTCTGGGAAATATCTGTTCGGAGCCCTCTAGAATGGCTAAAATTTTCGAGAGCCCAAGAACAGCTAAAAATTTCGAAAATGTTTCTTGGTGACTGTTTGTTGGGCTCAGAGTTTCGGGATTTGTGTGGTTTGTTCACCTAAGAATTTCGGATTTTGTAGTAATCTCTAGATTCTGGTTTCGGCACCTAGAAATTTC